TATGCAGCGACGGCGGCAGCTGGTTAGTTCAGTCTCCTGCCATAAATGGCCGCGTGCGGCAGACAAAAGCGCATGAAAAATTCATTGGGATTCGGCGGAACCGAAAGTTAAACGTCAGGACAGCGACAACCATAACAAGAACGACAACAACAACAATAGCAATAACAACAACAACAACAATAATAGCCAGAACAACAACGACGAGGACCACTATAGCGTATAGCATATAGAGCGACTGCTAGTCCTAAACGTCTATCGTTAGGTGTAACGAGGTGTGTGCTCCTGTGTGTGTTTGTGTGTGCAAAGGCTTTGTGACTGTGTCGGTGGCGTTGTTAAAAAAAAAAAAAAAAAATGAAACACAACAAAAACTGAATGCCAAATTGAAAGTGGTTGACAGGCAACTGAAAAAACAACAGCAATGGCAATAATGTTGAGTGTCCTTTCGGCCAAGGCAAAGTGAAAGCAATACTCGCCAGAAAAATAGAGAAAACACACACAAAAGCGACAAAAATAACTCGCAATTGACAAAAGTTTATTATTTTACCATTGATTTCGAGGCAAATAAACTGCGCAACAATTTCGAAAATATATTGAAGTAGGTTAGGATTGTTTGGCTGGTTGTGGATTGGGTGTCGCAGGACATCAAACGTTTAAATACAAATTAGTTAGGCATGTGTTCTAACAAATTGGATTTCCCTTTCATGCCATCTCGCTCACCTACGCGTCGTAGCATCTCTTTCATTGTTGAATTTTCAACAACTTTTTGGCATGTGGCATACTTTGTGGGGATTCGTTGAAATTAATTTCCGACGTTTTTTGCTTGCTGTTTCGATGTATTTTTCCTTTTTTGTGCTGTATTGGCAGTGAGTTCATTTTCCAGGCACTGATTTTGGCCCTGACCACGTTTGGTTAATTAAGCTGCCGAAGTTGTCGAAGTGCGATTTGAAGCCAGCTTGATTAAATGAAGGTGTATGACACCGTCAAGGTTTTGGGGAAGTTAAATGGGAAAACTTTAATTGCCAAAAACGGTCGTGGAAACTTTCTCAACCTAACGAACAAATCAGTTGGTCTTGTTTTCAAATATGACTTTTAAATTTAAACCAGATTAAGTTTCTCGCAAACAAAGAAGACGCAAAATGAGCATTAGTTTACAGAAAGTAAAAATACAAGTTTGGGATCATTTCATAGTTAAAATTTATTCAATTAATAACTGTACATTATGAATGGCACTTGCTACTTAGCAAATTATTGCCCTAATGCATTTAAAAATAAAAAATCCAAAGCAAGCAATCATTTAAACTATTCTTTATTTTAGAAATCTGTTCAATAATTTAACTTATTTGATCATTTATTACATTTTAATATTATTCTATATCCGAAAAGTTTTCTCCGCTTTGCAATTTAAATTAAACGTGCAACAAAATGTATATACTTCATTCATTGTATACTAAGGCTTAAATAAAAACATTTTGATATTTAAATCTTTGATTGCTCACTGTTTTGTTATTAAAATTACTCGTAATGACACCAATCAAATCGGAAGGGCGAAATCATTATAATTGATAACTAGGCTTGTGGCTCTACTTACCAAATCGATATAAGTTATTGAGTTCACCATTTTATATTGTTGTGTAGAGGTTATTTGATCATATAACTACACATATTACCTGCCATGTAAAAAAACATGTTTGATTATAAAGCTATAATTCAGGGAAAAGGGAGAATACTAAAATATCACCTTTAATCGAATTTTTATTAATGCTCTAGGATAACACTTAAGACAGAACGCTTAAAGCATATTTATCAATGTCATGTTAAGGTTCAATTTGGGACAACACTTATTCGCTTTCACAGTATGATGTTTGTTTTTCGAACAAGTTGCTAAGATATTCGGAAAAAAAACATAAAAAACGTAAAAAAAAATTACTTAAATTAATATTCACGTTTTTTCAACCGGTAAATTTAGCCTACAGTAACGAATTTGTTGTCAGACAAATTGTAATATGAAATTAAGAAAGTATATTGCTTATCGATACTCGCATAATATTTAAGTTTTTATTTATATAATTCAAACCCAATAATTACAGATATTTCATTCGCTTTCATTCGAGAAGCAAGGTAAACTAGGTGAAATTGTACCAATAATTTTCTTTTATTTATTCCTGCCTATCGAAATTCACAATTACCCTAATTAATTAATGAATTGATTAGCTCATAAAGCGTCACCAATTTGGGATATTTCAATTTGGCGAACAAAATTCCGAACCATTTTACAAATTTATTACCACCGAAAAGTAGGCAGCGTAGATGAAATTTTAATGAAATTAGACCGGCAACCGATTTCCGCAAATTTCAATTGTAAAACGCCTATTCACGAGCATTTTCGGGAGCTGGGGAAGTTTATGGCATTTTAATCATTTGAGAACGCTCTTGCTCTTTGCAGTCAACATGCAAATTGCCTGTCCCGGACCCGGACCCCGGACCCGTACTCGCAGTAGTCGAACCCAGACCCAGACCCAGAGCCAGGACCAGAGCCCGACAGCCCAATCATCATCATCAGCGGAGGCAGTGGAACGGAAAGTGGAAGTGGAACGCACCGTCGAGCCAGCAGGGGCGCAATAAAAATTGCCTATAAATGGGCGGAAGTGCCAGGGGCGTGTGCAGGCGGCAGGGGGTGGCCGAGGGGAAGGATGTGCTACGCACAAGGACGTTGAAGGGGATCGGCAAACAACAACAGCAGCAGCGGCAGCAGCACCAGCACAACAAAGCCAAACTTCCGCATAGGATGCGCCCGAACGGATGTTATTTTGGCCGCCTGAACGTGAGCGCGTTGCTCATCTACTTGTGGTGCTATCTGCTCCTGATAATGGCAGCATCTGGCGGCAGCAGCAACGTGGTGAACGGACTCAAATGCTACTGCAATCCGAAGGAGTGCGACGTCATCCGCTCGCCCGACTGCCCCGGAAAAGGACTTATGCTCTGGGATCCCTGCAAGTAAGCACTCCAATTAAACAGATATTTTCTGGCCACCAAATGGGGGAGCCGGTGCCCCCGTGAATATTTCATCGTTTTTATGGCCAAACTAAACGGAGAAATTGATATTAGGTATTATTCCCGTCGTTTTATGTAATGTTCTTCACTCGTTCCGAGTCAATTGTATTTTGTTATGATAGTAGTGGGACAATTTAAAGTGCTCAAAAGCATAACTTTAAAGCACAGGCAAACTTAGGACTAAAAATCTTTTAATATTGTTCTACTTTTTCAAGAAAAATGAAAAGTGTACATAATTCTATTTAATGTACTTTATAAAATGCTGTAGTAAGTAGATTTAGACATATCTAAAAAACTATCGAAAAATCCTCCTTCATATGCAATTCGTGTTGGAATAAAAATATTTTTAGTAGTTAGTGATAATGATTAAGTAAATTTATCTAGTTGCCCCATTTGGTAAAAAAAAATTATTTTTATGAAAATATAAAAAAAAGATCTTAAACAGTAGTTTCAATTGCTATTTCCATAAGCTAAAAAACTAATATTTTCATGACCGCAGGTGTATGTGCATCAAAGTTTGGTATTAAAATCATTTTATTAGATTTTCTTTCTTTTTGAGTACGCTACATGTATGTAGTATTTATTGAATTTAAGTTAAATAAATAAATATAAGAAATATACAAAATATTTTAATTTGTATTTAATTTCCATGATATACCTTTTTTCTAAGTTTCTACATATGTTAATTTATCTCTTAATAGAAAATTTCGGCATTAAATGTGACTGTTTCAAGAATATCAATTGCAAAAACAAACTGCTAAAATTCAAACTAGGTTAAGTTCTTTTGTTTGTTTAATCATCAAACGAAATAGGCTTCTATTATTTTAGCGTGCTTGGTTTAGTGGTTGCCGAAACATTAGTGCATAATAACAAAGCTTTGGCGAGTCATCAATGCAATTATCAAAAATGTTTGTGCTTATCATCGTTTTTATGTTTGCTTAAATTAAGCATCAAAATACACTTAAAATTTAATAGCTTATAATAACAATTTTGATTGCATAGATAAAACTTATTATTTATGATGAAATTTATTTTTTAATTAACTAATTGTAATGTAAAGGTGAATCGGCTAGCAAACAGCTGAAAAGAAAAAATGTTAGTAAAAAAAATAAATTAAAATTCCCACACAATTGATAAGTAGCAATCACGTTTTGAAATTAATATAATTATTGATTTTAATGAAGGAATTCTTTTTGTATTTTAATATAATTGTCACGTGTTTTAATCCAATTTAATAGCGCATAGTCGGCAACATTATCATTGCTGTGATGCGTTAGTATTTAAATCAGACAGAATGGGTCAACAATTCGTAACCACACTATGACCTCAATAATTGGCCATGATATAATTAAGAGAGTCAGGCATCAGAGTGTCTCCTCTAAATTCCAATCCAATTCACATCGTGAGTCACGTACTGCTTAGGAATTCACATCAGGCACCCTTACTCCCCCACATCACAATACAGTGTGTTAACTAATTGTTAACGCTTATCGAATCCAAGACGGAATCGAATCAATTACTACTGGGATTCATCCATCTCTATTGCACGGATTATGCTCATATATTAATGTCATATACGTCCAACTATTCGCAGATGTTGTCGCATATGCGCCAAAACTTTGGGTGAGTCCTGCGGCGGACCAGGCGGATTTTCCGGTCAATGTGAGCCGCCCCTGCAGTGTGTGACCAAGCTGCCCATTAGCAGCGGATTGGGCGTGTGCATGGGTAAGTCGATAGATATGTGGAACCCACTAAATACACAGTGAAGAAAATCTACAAATTCGAAATCTTAAATTGAATGGAAAGCCTTTTTAAATTCAGACATTGTCAGAATATAACTAGGACTGTTCATAATCCTTTTTTAAATTAAATTTTAAAATTACTTGTTTTTTTTAACCAATTTCGATATTGTGTTTTTTAAATAGTCATACATAAGTCGTTACAAAAAATAATACCAAAAAAGATTTTATATAGTATATTAAGTTATCTTAACATAAACAAAATTTTTTTGTAAGTAAAAGTCAATAGATATGTAAACGCACCAAATACACATGGAAAAAACCTACAAATTAAAAATCTAAAAAAAGGCCTAGACATTGTTAAGAAAAATACTTACTAGAACTGTTCATAGTTCTTATTCTGGCGGATATTTCGTGTATTTTCTAATATAGTATTACTTTTAAAAAACTTGTTTATTCTTAAATCGACTTTGGTATTCATATATAAAAGTCGTTACTTACCAAAAATAAATTACTAGAAAAGAATTTTATTTAATAAATGAAATAATCTTAACATAAACAAAAATTGTTGTTAGCAAAATAGAAGAATATTAAATATTTAATAATGTTAAAGTTTAGTGAAAGTAACAACAATTGATATTTTATATATATAGATAAGATGTTCTCTCGTGTACTTTGTTGGTGAACATCTATTTTTTTCCAGTGCATACATAAAAAAAAAAGGGAGAGAAACACCAGCGAGCGGGTTATGGTTATGGAGCATTTGTATTTAGTCGCATCCATTATGCATTAACATCACGTATTATAGACCACAGAGCCCTCGATGAAAATGTTTGAAACCAGTTCGGAGCGCTTCAGCAATTTGATTCGCACTTGCCATTTGGCCTCCGGAGCTCCTGGTGGGAATTCGTCCGAAATAAATGTGTAGTTGCGGATCTCGTACAGTTTCCCCTGCATAATTTGATGGCATCAATTTGGTTTTTGTGTGTAATCGTGTTTGGGGAATTAATACGTCCCGGCCGTACGGCAATTTCCAATGAAAATGGGAAATGAAAATGAAATAACTGCAGAATGTTGTTCAAATTTAACTAGTTTTGCTCGTCGAGAGTGCCACAACATGAAATGTTGACAAATATTTGCTTTTATTTATTGAAAGTTGTTTCCCAATGGAAAATATTTATCTTCCTCACACTGGGGAGGGGCAAAGTTTTGCCATCGAGCTGAGCTACTGACTAAAAAACAAACGGAAGTTCTATTTCATTGAATTGCGTTCTCCGTTTGTTGTCATCGAAACATATTTATGTTTTCTCAGTTTTAATAAGATTGATAAACTAAAGCAAGTTGCTTTTGAATAAGATAATTTTGATGACAAACTCTTCCAGCTGATATGATGAAATAACAATTGCATTTTAATTGAAACCCGAGTGCTTCTGATTTTTCTTGAATTTAATGAGCTTTTTACTTTAAAATATATTTTTGCATACTTTTAAAAATCTTTAAAGCCTTTTTTTAAAACCCAAGTTATCTCTGGTTATTTATAAATTAATTTTGCGAAACAAAATTTAAATAAAAGTAATCTAATAAAATAATCACTCTTCTGTGCAAAATCAACTTAAATTCAATATTTTGCTTAAGCTGATAGCAAAAATCTAAAAAATTTAGAATTAAACTAAAAACTTGGATACAATTTTATCAAAACATGAGTTTTAACAAATAGCTTTTTACAAATTATATGCTATTGATAACCATTTTATTAACTGGTTTGAAGTAGTTTTTGTTTTGATTAAAATTCAAGAAGTTCCACTTCAGTTATTTGGGGAACCTGTTAATATATTACTCACCTTCATCACAGGACATTGGCTTGGCAAGTTACTGACACTTTTAAGTCTTTTGAACAATTTGCCAACGATATTGTTTTGATACATCGAGCCTAGGTACCTGCACCCATCCATCTTAAGATCGGCCACGCTCATGCGACTTTTATCCTTTTTGATCAAGTCGAACGTGGCATGAATGTCGAAGTGATCAATGGTTTGGTTCATACTAAATCGGGCCGATATTATGGCAATCCGCTTTCGCAAAAGTTGACAATTGACTTCATTAACGTATTTCTTAGATATAGCTGCGCAGTCCAGAGTTTTGATAACAATGTCATAGTTACTCTGGCAGATAAAATTTGTACATATTGTGGTTTCAGATTAAAAGAACAAACCTTTGCGGATCCGAGTTGTAGAGGAAGAAATATAACCAAAAACGAAAACCGAATGAACATTATGCCAAACTAAACATGAAAATGCAAAAGGAGTCGGCTTATATAGGCCCCCACTAATTTAAAGTAAACATCATCATAATCTCTTTAAATGCGCACAGAATCAAAGTTCATTTTGGGTCTTAATGAACATTTAATATGTGAATTAACGCGCACCAACAGTTTTCCGCTCCTCATAGCTTTGGTGTTAATAACTCTATTTGCTTTATTTGTTTTTTTAACAGATCTGCAACACCTGACCGCCCTGACCTACAGTCATCACGATAATTGTTCCGACAGCGATTCGATTGTTTTGCAGACGGGCTGCGAGATCACAAACAAACGCTGCCAGTGCTGGCCAACAATGCGCACCTGTCTCAGCGAACTGACCAGCGATGGGGGATCCCCCGGCGACTCCAGTTGGCATTTCAAGAACCTTGAGGTTGCTACAAATAGTACTCAGTAAATGCCTTTACTAATACCATTCTATTCCGCCACAGGACTGCCAGCTGAACTTGCAAAATCTAGTTAAGCTCGAACTCGAATTCGATGAAGACTACAAAATCTCACCGAGCAAATTCACATACAAAAAGCTGCGCAGAAAGCGAAAATCGTTAAGAAAACGCATGTGAGTATTTTATGAATTAAGTCAAAAGTTTTAATATCTATTAAATAAATTATTGTTATAACTAAAAAAAAATGTTTGCATATAATTTTTACATCGTTTAATGTGAAAATTTAGTTAATCAATTTCCATAAAAGAGCCAATTTCAGGCTAGCAACTGTTCAAGAATATATCATCAATTTCTTTAAATAATTTACGGTTTCAAAAGGATAAAATTGAAGCTAGAACCCAAGAATTCGCAATATTAATGTATATGGTTTTAAACTAAGATTACAATACCTAAAATCCTATAAAAAAAATATAATCGTGGCTTAATGAAAAGCATATATAGAAATATTTCTATAAAAAAGTCAAAAATGTCAAAATGAACAAAATTGGCTTTCAATGAATTTTAATTTAAAAATAAAAAAATGGTTTAATAATTTCATAAAAATTAAATTGACATTCTATTAGCTTTTATAGTTTAAGATATATCTATTCAAAATCTGTTGATACCGTTTATCTTACATTTAAAATTGATATAATCTGAAAAGTTTTATTTAAGAATGTAAATCTTGTTGCGACTTGTATTTATATTTTGAAATCAAATCGCTTGCATTTCAAATATAAGTGAAACCATCGACTTGTACTCCTTTTGGTGGTTTTAATTTTTATAAGGATTCCCTTAATTTCTTTAAATATTTAGAAAAATATTAAACAAAACAACATATTATTGACTTTTTCTAATGAATTGATTTATTTTCAGAATCATCTTAAAGGATTGAGGCTTCATTGGGCCATTGGGATCATCCTCTTTCTCAACTCTTAACTCAATAAAACCAAAAGGAAAATCTTGTACAGATAGTATGCTTACTTCTAACTAATAATATGGCTATTATAAATAACATATATATAACAACGTATAAATATACAAGAAGAAATATACATATGAGAAATAGACAAATTGTATGTGTCCTAAGACAATTGTTACTTTATTGTTTTTAGAGTGCGCGTACGTATGTATAAATTTGCAAATTTTTAATCCTACTGCCCAGAAAACAAAATATACAAACAATAACTGAACATATTTCAAGATTGTTGTTGCTTTAAAAATAACAAATACAAAGTGTGCAGAATGTTGGAATTTTCCATAAGCATAAGTCAATAATAACAATAACCCGAATGACAAATTTTGCTAACACGAAACCGCATTGAAAATATATAAGTGGCCAGAAAATAAAGTGGTTTTTTATTTCTACGGGATTGTTAACTGGATTTATATTTTGTAATTTCTTTATTATTATTTTTATTTTAAATTGTATAGCAACTCATAGTTCCGTTAACAGCCAATTAGCGTGCAGTTTCAGTTTTTGGGCCAAGTAACAGAGGCAACATTTCAAGCAGCAGCTGAAAGTATGCAACATTTAGGAAGCGTGTAGAATTAGTGTGTAAAAGGCATGTAGAATTCGCAAGTTCAGTTATAAGCCGCTAGATGTCGCAGCAAATCCTATGTAAGCCAAAGCACCCCTTGCAGAAGGCATACTAATTTGGTATAAAGTTTAATATATATAATATATATATATATATATATATATAATGCAAGACGATCTAGCCATATCCGGCTGTCCTACTGTGCGTTCATATCTACACAAAATTTTCTTTAATTATTATATATACAAGAAAGATTTTTAATTTAATAATTTCTTAACAAACAGAAATAACCATATGGTTTCTGGAGAGTATTAATTATTAATTTAAATGAAAATCACCGAAGTTAGCTTCTTATAAATACAGAGATAGCCTACCCTCTAGTTGAAGTTTATTTATAGAAAATTATATATTCTCTTAAAAGTTATTTAAACTCTTCCTACATATATTTTAATATTTTTATTAAGTATTCAAATATATTTATACAAACCTTTAAATAATGAAGATTGAAATCGATTGACTGTAAGCGCCTGAAGATTTCACTGCGTATCCAAGAAACCACTGACTCATCTGGCCTTAGAACTACCAGGCAAATAAAACGGCACTACAAAATCGAATCGAAAACCCTCTGCCCCAAAAATCGAGCGTCAACATCAACGGCAGTCGAGTGGGGTCAGTTCTTCATCTCCGAAAGATCAAAGATACACTTTGGCGCTTAAGTGTTTTCCCGCCAATCTCCAGCCTCATCGCCAGCTATCAGCTGAAGGAGTTCGAGATATTTGTTTCGCTTTTCGAATTGAGTTGTTATATTTCTGTGGCCCCGTGCACTCGAGTTCGTTAGGCACCTTAGTGGAGCAAACAAAAGCAATTAGACGGCGTCATCTGACAGCCTCAATGGAATAGTTTTCGGAGCGCATACCGAAGGAATGCCACAGCGTTTATCGATCGCCCTCTGATGGCATGTCCAACTGCCAATGAGATGGACCGGGCTGAATAAAACCATGTAAGTGAAATAAAAATGAGACGAGGGGGGGCCACTGTGTCCAGGGCGCAGAACAAAAGAGCTCGAGTGCGGAGGAGTGAGGTGTTAAAAATTCTACTCTTTATGCTCCTATTATGATTTGACTCGCTGCTTGTGGACTTTGATGGACATTTAAGATATAAAAAATCTCTGGTTGTGCACTTAAAAAAATCTAAAGACGATAAGATTGGTTATTTTCTGAAAAAGCGCCGCAACTTACTATTTAAAAAGTTAAACATATTTGATTAAAACAAACTTTTTATAATTAACACTTAATAAATATATCTTTTTAATCCTAAACCGAGTTAAATTTTGGAAATCTCTAAACCAGTGTTCAAATCCAAAACAAAAATTCTTTTTTAAAGTTAAAAAGTAATTATTTTACATAGAAATTCCTTAAAAATTCCTAGATAGATGGCACATTTTTTTTCAGTCTATATGTGTGCGTGGAGTTTTATATATCTTTTCAGCTTTTGTCTCAGTTGTTTGACAACCGATGCGTACAAATCAAAGCAGGAATCCAGAGTCAGGGGCCCCAAGCCCCGACTCGTCTGTTGTTTGATTAATAGCCGCACAATTGATATGTTAAGTGGTAAATTACGCCATTGGCACGCAAATGTATCTTCAAGATACATGCGTTTGTGTATAGACAAAAAACGGGCAAATTGTTGTTTGTTTAAGGCGCCGCTTTGGACGGAGATAAAAATCTGAGAGCTGCGCTATCGAGGCTCTGGAAAGGCGGAGCCTAAAGTGCGTAAAGTGATTTAATTTTGAATGGATGTCGGAGAAAGTTCATCAAACACACTCACTCGCTGGCCGGCATGCAATTATTCAATTATTCGGTTGACTTTTTTTCCCCGCTCATTGGGGAAGAAAAGCTTGGCATTTTACAAGGTTCGTTGGCTTAAATTAAAACCCATTAGTCTACTTTTAACACGCTTTCAGGGAGTCTCTGCTTGTTGTTGTTTTTATGGTCCCGTTTATATGTTTAAGCAAAACGAAAAACAAAACCGATTCAAACCGAGCCGAGGCGAACAAAAAATCCATTAAAGCCTTTTTGTATATTAGAAAAGCGAAACAATGGGGAGGGAGTTCGATTGATGTCATTAAATTTTTGCCACGCCATAAAATTCATCGAATTTTTGTTGTTTTATTGAAAAACCGCCGTAGAAGTGTTATAAAAATCATTTAAAAGTCGAGATTGCCGTAGCTTTGATGCTTTTTTGTGTTCTCTGCTTTGTTTATACTGCACGAAACCTTCGCTCATGCTCAACTAAAATGATTTAATTTCGAAACGTGCCTTGCAAATTTTATGATCAATTTTCGCTTTTAATATAGATTGAATGCCTCGTCGAATTATTTAAATGTGGCTGAGGCTCATTTATTTATTCTCTTCTTTTGTTTTTGCTTTGTATCAGATATCATGTGACGAAGTCGCTTTATTGGAATGCAAAAGTGAAGGAGGGAGCAGCTTTTTGATGATCAGCAACTGATTGAAATATTGTAAATTTTATGGATTTGATTTACGATATTTTAATAGAACAGTGATTTATGGCGGGTAAAATAAATCGAATCGTTTCTGAGACCAAAACGTGTTGGTTCTTAAATTTTTAATTTAAAATGATTCTTAACGTTTTAAAAAATAAAAAATATTTAAATTAATTATTATACGTTCGTTTCTATCAAAGAAATTAAATAAATTGGTTTATATTTGGTAAAGTTCTAATTTCAATAATGCAAAATAAAAAAATAAATGTCTCCATTTTTTTTTTTGATAAAATAAGTTCTTGTCTTGACTAAATTTAAATAATCAATTAATGCTATTGGCCATTTAAAGTCCATCTTCTGCCCCAGTAAATATCAATCTTCTTTAGGCTCCGATTCTTTCGATTGTTTTGCACATCAAAGCTGATGGAGTTGACTTCATTTCCATTTCTATTAAAGCATTGGATCTCTTGCTCGGCTTGTCTGCCACATAAATAAACTGTGGCAAATTCTCTAAGCCAACTCGCTGAAGGCCCATAAATTATACGGCGAAAATCAACAACTGAGGAGGCCAATGTGGTTGTTGTGTCATTTTCTCGGCGCGCTTAATAAACTACACACACTTTATGCGATCTGTGGTTCCTGTTGTTGTGGCCTGCCGATTGCTGTTATATGATTTCATATATCATCGGAGCCAAG